GTGGCATTTTACTTTCTGAATAAATAACTGATTCACTGATTTCTTGGAATGTGAGTTTACTTTTTAGTTGTTCCAGAGTACTTTGGGTCTCTAGGTCAATCGCCAGTCTTAATATCTCACCCACAATCAATTTTCTTTGCCAAAATCAGGAGTAACATTAACCAAAAAGTCCAAGTGGCTGTTCTCTGATCACGTCAACTATTACCTCAACTGACCAAAACTTCTGGGACAAATGTGACCCAAACAATACTGAATCTTCTAATGTTCCCCCAGAGATCTTTTCTGAATCAAGCCCTCCTGTCCTCCTCGGGCGTTAGCCGTGAGACATCAGTGATCCTAGGGCTAGGATGCTGACAATGTCTCAGGTGAAGGAAAGGTCAGCCCACATCTGAGCATTTGGAGCATCTTGCTCTAGTGGCCCCATTGGTCAGTCCTGTCAAAGCTGCATCTGATGACTGAGCCCAGCTTGGAACTGGGAAGAAAGGGCCTGAACAGGAAAAAGAGGTCATCTATGACTCCTCTGTCACCTTTGTCTGAAAGGAAAGTCTAGCTTGAAGGTTGGTTGGGCAGACCAATTTCCAGCTCTGCCACATATTTCCAACATTACTTATCTGCCATGACTTACCATCTGTGCTCGACATGTTCTACACACATGGGCATGATGTACACATTAAGACATGTTCCTTGCATCCGAAGATATTCCCAGATTACGGACATATTCCCCCAACCAAATTGAAGAATGAAGGAAGGCATTCAAGTTGACCTCAGCATCCACAGGTCTAGGGGAGGTTTGAGACATTTTCTTTCCTTTAAGCTTCCATCCCTGATTCAAAGGATGACAGTATTTATACACAGGGCCCAAGACATGCTCTAGGGAGAGTTTGCTATCTGTGTAGCGGGTGACTGTTGTCTCCCTAATCGACACTGGCTGATGTCCTGGCCTGTGTCTGCCTCTGTTCTTCCCTTTCCACATGGGGAAAGGCAGCAGGCTGTAGCTCACAGCTCACCTGGAATGCCTCCGGTTGCTGAAGGGCTCAGTGGAGACTCTGAGACAACCTGATGGATCATCTCATAAACAGAGCCTGCAGGAAGGAAAAGAAAATTATGCCAGCAGAATGCACTTATGAGAAATAGATACGTGCAGTGCAGGGAGAAATGCTTTGATATTAAAATTTTTTGTAACTTAAAAAGGCATGAAAAATGATACCGGCCGCTAACTAATCAACATTCCTTTGTGAATGCAGCTTCAGTTCCTAACCAAAAACACATCCCTGCTATTGTCTTGTCTGGATCCAGATGCAAACATGATTAATTAAGTTTCAGCCCTAGAGTAGGAGGGGGATGGTCAGGATAGATGGCTTTCTGAGTATCCTTTTTTATAGGCCTGGGGAGACTTTAAGGCTGGCTGCCTATTTTCCCTCATGGGACTTGGCTCACTTTCTGTGCACTGACAGCCATGGGGTGCAGGAGTGGCCTGGACCCAAACCCACAGAGTGAGGCTGAAAGAGGCTTTCTTTTTTTTTTTTTTGTACCGGGGATTGAACTTGGGTCCTTGGGCTTGCACAGCAGGAGGCAAAACCACTGAGCTAAATCCCCGGCCCGAAAGACACTTAACAGACAGTAAAGAGGGGCTTTTGGTACTTCCCATTGCCACTGCCCTGCACAACCTGCAGAGTAGCAAAAGCACATTCCATTCAATGTCTTGTTGGGAGACCTGGGATCTGCTCTTCATATTGCAGTCTGGAACCTTGGGCAGGCTGGCTCAGTCTCTGTACTAGTAGTAAAATTAAGGTGTCAGTTACTTCCTTCTTGCTGAGACCCAATACCCAACACCTACAACTAAAGAAGAGGTTTATTTTAGCTCATGTTTTCAGTCCATTGTTGGCTGGCTCTCTGGCAGGGAGGCATGGCAGAAAGGTCTGGCAGAGGAAAGCCGCTCATGTTATGGCATCCAGGGAGCAGAGAGTGAATGGCAGAGCCAGGAAGGAAGATGTTCCCGTCTGAGGATCATGCTCCCATCGACCCACCTCTTCCAACCAGACCCTACCTCCCAACAGCAAGCCAGCTATAATGTCCCCACAATCCACACCTTCCAAACACATAAGGCTTTGGGGGCCATTTTAGATCTAAACCATAATACAAAGGTTGGATTAATGTTCTTTACTAAGTCACTTTCATTTCTAACTTTTTATTTTGGCATCTGCAGTTCCTCACACACAGCAGGCGTTTCTCCATTGATTGCAGGCAAGGTGATGATTATCAACATTGTATGAAGGAGCTTAGTGATGGTGGGGATTAGAAGTGTTCGAGGTGGGCATCTCTGATGCATGTGGCTGACCCTGTAAGGTCTGAACAGCATGGCATATGGGCCAGCAGACTTGCTTCTTGATCCCCGGGCCCAACACAGTGGGTGTCTTCCCTGCATGGTGAACAGGAATATATGCACAGGTGAAAGAGTTTTATAAGGCCAGCTGGACTCCAGGGCGTTGCCAGTGCCAGATGTAACACCAAGAGCCTCTTATCAGACTTTAATGGGGATTTAAACCAAAGCCAAGACTGGGGTTTAGTGAGCTATTTCACTGAGGGCTTTCTGCTTCCTAAAGCCTACTGTTATGGCATGTATCTAGATGTCCCCCAAAGCCTCATGTGCTCATAGGTGGGGCTTTTCACAGCTGGCTGGATCTAGGCTGTGTGATACTGGCATTAAGGGTGCATGGCACTAAATTAGTTCACTGATTGGAATTAGCATAGTTCTGGGTGGAACCACCCAAAAGGCTGGTAGCCTGGATGCCATAAAAGGGAAAGGGAGGCTGGCTGCTTGCTGCTCACCGCTTTCTACCTCCCAAGTCATGAGCTGTTTCTCCTTTGTGAAGTCTTTCTACTATGCCAGCCATACAGCCAGCCATCGATGGACTAAAACCTTTACAAACTGCAAGCTGAAATAAACCTTTCCTCTTTTAACTTTGAGTGTCAGGCATTTTGTTTCAGTGATGAGAAAAGTAACTAAGACTTCTACTGATTCCATTCTTTGTGTCAGCTGTGAATGGCCCATTTTTTGAGAAGCATTCCCTTTCAAACACTGGAGCAATGATTACCCAAATACTTTTTACATCTCTGTTATTTTGTCTCTGGGAAAATCTGTGAAACATGCAGTATTCTCTTACCTAGCTAGGAAATAACTTTAAAAATATTATTTCTAATCCATCTTCATGTTTTCAAGAATGAATCTCTTATTCCCATTTCCTGGGTGGAGTGACTGAGACCACAGTCAAGAAGCAACTCCTGGGACCTGGAATCATAGAATGATTTCATGATGGGGCCAAGAATCACTATCATTTCCTGTCTGAAAGTCGAAAAACATGACCATATGAAATGAAGACTGTAGATTACAATCTGCTGGAACAACTTCAGAACACTAAAATGAGTGTGCTGCTATTATGAAGTGCATTCTAAGAGTTATTTACTGTTTTGAATGTAATCAGGTGAAGGAGATCTTCCATAGAGGTTCCTGGTTAATCTCAGACCCATGAAAGATGACTTTCACTTCATGTCAACAAAGATTTAACCCCAACATTGTGCAGGGTACTGCTCTGATGGATGTTTTATAAGGGAAGCAAGAAAAGGAGGAACTTCCCTTGGAAGCACAGCATAAGGATGGGCAGAGATGAAGTTTTGGCTCATAGCCTATGTATGACCCATCTCTGCAGATGCACGTGTGATGCTCTGTCCTCTAGCTGGCCTATCAGGAAGCAGCTTCCAGGCACTTCCCTTCTTCTAGCTTGGCTCGTACTTCCCTCCAAATCCAAATGTCTCCTTACTTCAGGGTGCTTCTCCTGTACTGGACTTGGCCTTAGAGTTCATGTCTTGGTTTCTCCTGCTGGATGTTCTTAAGATGTTGGGCTTAGGCTTGTCTTTCTGGCACATCTTCCCCTTCTCCACTACCAGAAATCTCTGCATAAATGTTCCTTTCACTGAGCTACTTATCTGCACCTCCAGAACTGGGACATGGGGCATAGATGGCCAGGAAAGGGGCCAGGAGGCTCTGGAGTGGAAGGTCTGAAAGGAGGGCACTTCTTTCTGCTTGGAGAGGGCTTTCAGGAGAACTGGCTGAAGGCCTGAGACCACCTTGCTGTTAATCTCTCTGACTTAAGGTTGCACTAGTCCTCAGGTCACACTAGTCCTCCCTGGCCCCTCCTGCTCCCTCCCCTCCACCAGCAAATGTGTTCCTGGCATGCCCACATCTGTGTCTGCACAAGCTCTGAGCCGCCCCAGCCCTGGGAGAGCCCCATTCCCTCAACAACTGCACATCTGGGGTTCAATTTTCTTTTGGGTAAGTCAGGGATACCTTCCCTATGTGGATGTACTGAGAATCAGTTAATGCAATAAAGATCTCCCCACACTCTCTTTAATACTCACAGAAGCCCTAAATGGTAGGCACATTCCTTGTTTTGCCGGTGAGAAAATTGGGTGCCTAGGGAGGCTGTGGAGAACTTCCTGTCACTCAGTGACAACTGAAGAAAGCTCAGATTAAGAAGACCAAGAAGAAAGCTCAGATTAGTCCAATTCCAGAGCCCAAGTTCTGTAGCCAAAGGTCAGAATAAGAAACTTTACTGTGGAAGCCCATAGTCCAAAGCAGGGATTGGCAAACTTCTTCTGTACAGGGCTTACTATAAAATGGCATTGTAGGCTTTCCACCCCATATTTGACCTTGGACATATATTCTTTTTATTTTTTTGTACTATGTTTTTTTTTTCTTCACATAAAGACCAGAGATCTTTCTTCACAATAAATTATTGTTTTATTGGTGTGTTGCAGTCCATTGTCTGAATGTGCCATAATTTTTTCCCTAGTACAGTATTGATATATACGCAGATTTTAAAGTATTTTTCTATTTAAAATAATGCTTTGAGATTCTTCTGTCTTTGCTAATACATGGCTGCATCTGTAACATAACTTCCAGTTGTGAAATTCTTAAGTTGATCTTTGTTTAAAACTGATAGGTGCAAAATTAAACTCCTGAGAATCTGCACCCATTTACACCTCAGCTTAGCAGGCATGAGCAAATATGAGCAAACACCACATGACAGGAAACACTTTGATCTTCAGGATTCAGGTAGGTGGAAAAATGTATTTCACTTTTACTCGTTTTTATTTGGGTTTAAGTAAACCTAAATAATTTAATCATTAAAATGCTTTTAAGCCCTGATTCTTGTTGTGCTTTCTTTTTGTTTTAACCACCCTTGAAAAATGTAAGAACCATGCTTCCTCTATAGACCATACCTTACTGTCTTTGGTCTGAAGGAATGAGCACAAGATTTGGACTTGGGAATGAGTTCAGAATGTACACCTTGTATTAGAGGCTATATTGTTCATGATTGCTCCACATTGGCATATGATATTGACTTCTGAAATGTTGTTATCACCTTTTTTTAATTTTTTGGATCCCCAGTAGCGGAGATCAAACTCAGGACCTTGTGCTTGGGAGTCAGGAATGGTGCCACTGAGCTGAATCCCCAGTCCATTGGGGGGTTTTTTTTGTATATCCTTTTATTGGTACATTTTAGGTGTAGAGTATAATGACATTCATCATTCGAGATGTGCAACTTTACATACTCTCTTGGTTCTTATTTTTTCCCCTTCCCCTACCCTCCCTTCAACCCCTCCATCCCTCCCTATTTACAAAGACTTTGTTTCCATTTTTTCCCTTTTCTCATATTAATTCCATTCCCTTCTTTACTTTCCCCTACCCTTCCCACTTCTCCTTCCCCTTTACCCCTTTTCTTCCTATTTCACATTATCTATTATACCTTCTAGTGCTTATTTACACTTTTAGTTTTTCACACTACAGAAACCATTTTTACACATTTGTGTCCTATTTATTTCACTTAAGAGTATTGCCTCAATGTACATCCATTTAGCTATAAATGTCTCTAATTTATCATTTTTATGGCTGAATAGTACTCCATTTTAGGAAAAAAAAACCCACATTTTCTTTATCCAGTCTCCAGTTGATGGGCATTTGGGCTGCTTCCAAGTTTTAGGTATTACAAACTGTGCTACTATGAACATGGGTGCACATATATCACTGTGGTATGATTCTTTTAATTCTTTGGGGAAGATACCCAGCAGGGGAATAGCGGGTCAAAAGGGACTTCCAGTCCTAGTTCTTTGAGGTACCTCCATACTGATTTCCACAATGGCCAGTCTACACTCCCACCAACTGTGGAGCAGGGTTCCTCTTTCCCCACAGTCCCACCTGCATTTGTTGTTGGTTGATTTCATGATAACAGCCATTCTTTCTGGGGTGAGGTGGAATCTCAGCATTGCTTTCATTTACATCTCTCAAATGACCAGTAGTGTTGAACATTTTTTCATGTGTTTTTTGCTATTTCTACTTCATTGTTTAAGAAATGTCTGTTTATTTCAGATGCCCATTTTTGGATTGGGTCTTTAAATTTGGGAAGTCTGATTTTTTTAAGTTCTTTATAGATTTGAGATAGTAGACCTTTGTCTGAGGAACACCGGGTGAAAATGTTTTCCCACATTGTGGGTTGTATCTTCACAGAGCTTCTTGCTGTGCAGAAGCTTTTTAATAAGAAGAGATCCCACTTGTTGATTGTTTGTGCTAGTTCATGGGCAACTGAGGTTTTGTTCATAAAATCTTTTCCTACACCAATGTCTTCAAGAGTTCTACCTAACCTCTGTTCCAGCTGGTTCAGTGTTTCTTTTTCTTTTTCTTTTTTTTTTTTTTTTTTGGTACTGGGGATCGAATTCGGGACCTTGCACTTGCATTGCACGCGCTGGAACCACTGAGCTAGATCCCTGGCCCAAGCATTTCTATTTTAATCCATTGTTTTTTTAATTTTTTTTTTTTTGGTACTGGGAATTGAACTTAGGACCTTGCATTTGGGAGGCAGGCACAATGCCACTGAGCTAAATCCCTGGCCCTGTCGCCATTGTTTTAGCATTGTTTTTTGTTTGTTTGTTTTTTTGGTACTGGAGATCGAACTCAGGTCCTTGCACTTGCACAGCAGGCAGCGAAACCAGTGAGCTAAATCCCCAGCTCCCCCGCCATTGTTTTTAACCCTGTAATAAAATTGTATAATCACCATATGTCTTAAAATATACAATTTTTTCTTTGTAAAATTCATTTATGAAGATCTTCATATAACTAATGAAGGTAAATAATTTTTGTTATTGCAAAGTTGATCTATTTTAGCATCTAGTAAGTAATTCTGATAATTATATAAATTATACATACACACATCTATACGTTACCTAGTTTTCACATTTAGGCAATAAATCTTAAGAAATTATTCTTTCAAAAAAAAGCAAACAAAAAATCATTGACTATGATGTTCCCAAGCACAACATCCCTAGTTCAGTGGATCAGAAGGATGCAGCCCAGGAATGGGACTGCTGAAGTTCTGGTAGAACATAGATGTACCTTGGAGGACTGCTGGTATATGGGAGGGTATCTTGGCTGCATACAGACTGACTCTGAGGGAGCGTGTCAGCAGCACAAAGACAAACCAAGGATGAGAAGTATGTGCCCAGAAGGAGGATGCCTCTCCCTCTATCCCATGAGGTGTTGACATGTGTAAGATTAGCCACACGTTCTGCTAACTGGAACAGAGAGCGGCCAATGGTAAGAAAAGTGGCAGAAGAAAATCTTGAGAGTGGCTTAATTATAAAAGTTTTCCATAGTGGCTTGGAAATCAATGGATTTGACTGGACTTACTCAAAAGTAATTGCAGTAATTTTTCTGTATCAATTTGAATGAGGATTCAAGATGGAAAGTAAGGCCAGGTATAGGAAGAATGAACACAAGTATTTTCTTGCCCACTTGTGTCTGTGTTTTGTGAAGATAATAGTAGTTATTATTTATCAAGTGCCAACTTTATGCCAAGTACTTTATACATATCATTTCATTTAATCATAACTTTATGATACATAGATTACTGCTTCCACTCCAGAAGACCAAGACACTAAGCTACCGATCCAAGATCACCAGTTAATCATCAGGAAATCCAGGACTTGTATCTGTATCTATTTGACTCAAACATATGCCTTTTTAGGATTAGAGGAAAGTTATTTAGTTACTTACAATTTTAACTTTTAAACCATGTGATTATATTGTTACCTACATGATAATAAATATAATTAAAATAAAACTGAAGCTCTCAGACTTTCTGGCAAAGAACCTGTTTGAGAATCATATATACAGTGCCTCATTGGAATATAAATATTCCCCATTGGACATCTTATAGATTTAAGTTTTTGTATGTTTCTTGATTTTCTTAGTAATGTGGGGTTATGTTATGTTCTTTTATGATTTCTTGTGTTTATTTGGTTGTTACTTTTGTGTATTTGTTCTTTCATTGGCTCTGATTCAATAGGTGTCTAAGTTCTCTCCGTTTCTGCTCCCTATCTAGTTTCTTCACCTCAAACCCCTTTTTTTTTTACTTTCTTTTTCAAGGTAATTGAATCTGGAATGTGTGATTAAGGGGGTTAAGGGCCTGTGATTATTAAAACACTGCACATGAGTGACTAGTTTGGCACTCCTGTGATCCCAGTAGTCAGAATAAGATAAAAGGGGCAGAAAGATGCTGTTAAACCTCCTTGTTGCCTTTACTGTCTTGTGTGCACTGTATTGTTTCTCCTCAGTGACGCTGTTTGCCATTCATGTCTTGGAGCCAGCTGATTATGGACTGAAACTTCCACGAACTATGAGCCAAATAAGCCCCTTCCCCTTTAACTTGGGTGTCAGGTATTTTGTCTCAGCAACGAGAGAAAAGTAACTAACATGGGGAAGATTGAGGAACAATACTAGAGAAGATAGGAGTGACTTCAAGGGAGCTAAGTATGGGGAATTTAAAAACTGGGGAGGAAGATTTTACAAGTTTGGAAAAAGAAAGTCCCACTTCATCTGCAAGAGGCTTTGGGGGGCATCTAAACACAGTCACAATGCTCCCCATCCTAAGGCTTTGGCTCTTTGTAGCTCACCTAGCTTACTCTCCTATCAGCAAGTTCTGACAACCACATAGCTTTCCTCAATTTCAAAGTGAATCCCCTTTCTCCCATATCTCGCCCTTCCCCCAACAAAATATCCTCTGAAAACTCTTAATATTCACCCAAGTCAACTAAAAGTACTCCAATAAAATCAGACCCCGGATCAACCTTACCTTCTTATCTACCACTATTCCCCCTCCAAACCTCCCCCTACTCATCCAACCACCTCTTATTCTCCTTACTCCACCTCACCTACCTGATTGCAGAGCAACCACAAATAATAAACTGTCATAGAGGGCATGGAGAACAGACAAAGGGGAGAAGAGTAAGTGCAGGGACTATCATATAGAAGTGCTATAAGATTGAATCTATGGATGCTGTTGTAGTAAGTATTCTTTTGGCAAAACATAGGGACAGAATTGAAATTACTTAAAATAAATAACAGAAGGAACAACAGTAGCTCTGGAAGTACAAAGCTGAAACTTACTCACAGGGAGGCAACATATAAGCCACAAACTCTCCTCACTCCTTTAGTCCCCAACCTGCAATAACCTCCCCTCCAAAAAAAAAAAGAGGGGGCCATATGTATTTTTTTAAAATAATATGATATCTTTTCAACCGATGATGTTACTCTCACATGGGGGACCCTAGAGAATGTCACATATCACAGAAAACCCCCTACACTTCTGGTGCTTAGAGAAGAAATTGAAAATGCGTGTGCAGCCATCTCAATGACCAAGCTTACCCAACCAGTAGTGCACCATACTAATAAATGTCCGGAAGCTAATGGCCATCACTTTGAGCACCTCTCGTAATTGTAGAGGTCAAAAGTACCTTGTGTTACTCTCATGATGTCTCAATTAATTTGCTATTAAAATATTTATACAAGTTTTTTTTTCCTGAAGTGTCTATACATTTTTTGGCAGTCTCTGTATATGAACAAATAAACACAGATACACAGAGGAGAATGAGGAAGCAAGGAAACAGATCTCAACACCGTCCCATCAAATCTCCCAAGACAGAGCAAGGAGTCACAAAGGGAGAATAAAATCAATACAAGGTAGCAGAAATCTATGAATAGTTCATAGAAGAGATGAAGAA